TATTGGTACGACGGACAAGGTGAAGCATAGGATAGACCTGCATGATCCAACACCCTTCAAGCAGAAATATAGAAGGATTCCTCCTGCTGCCATTGAGGAAGTTAGGACACACATACAGGAACTTCTAGCAAGTGGTGTCATACGTCCATCCCATTCACCATTTTCCTCTAATGTGGTCCTTGTTAGGAAACATGATGGATCATTACGCCTCTGTATAGATTACAAACAGCTGAACTCGAGAACCATCAAAGACAACTATGCCCTTCCACGGATAGACGAGATCTTAGATTCATTATCAGGGAACAGATTCTTTACAGTACTCGATATGAAGTCAGGTTATCACCAGATTGAGATCGAAGAGGCACACAAAGAGAGGACTGCGTTTACTGTGGGGCCATTGGGATTTTATGAGTTCAACAAGATGAGCTTCGGACTAGCCAATGCGCCTGCCACGTACCAGCGTCTGCAAGAACAGTGCCTAGGTGACTTACATTTAAAGATCTGTTTTATCTACCTTGATGATTTGATAATTTTCTCTAAGACTTTTGATGAACATCTTCACAGATTAAGACAAGTTTTTGACCGGATTAGACAGTTTCATCTAAAATTTTCTCCAAAGAAGTGTTCATTCTTCATGAATAAAGTAAAGTACATTGGACACATTGTTTCTGAAGAGGGAGTGCAAGCAGACCCTGACAAGATAGACAAAGTTAAGAATTGGCCTACCCCGTCAAACCCAGAGGAAGTAAGATCATTTCTAGGATTTGTCGGTTATTACCGAAAGTTTATACAGAATTTTGCCAAGATTGCACGTCCGCTCATAGATATTATGGCTACTGGTAAGAAGACTCGGAACAGAAAAGAACAGTCTCCAAAGTGGAAGTTGGGTGAGCAACAAGCACAGGCTTTTCAGGTGTTGAAGGACAAGCTTACTACACCCCCTATACTTGCCTATCCTGATTTCACCAAGCCTTTCGAGCTGCATACAGATGCCTGTGGAACAGGACTTGGAGCCGTTCTATATCAGGAGCAAGATGGACACAACCGAGTTATCGCATACGCCAGCAGAGGATTGTCCAAATCTGAAAGAAATTATCCGACACATAAGCTGGAGTTTTTAGCTCTTAAATGGGCGATAACGGAGAAATTTTCAGATTACCTCATGGGTCAGACGTTCTCGGTATATACCGACAACAATCCATTGACGTATGTGTTGACCTCCGCCAAGCTTGACGCAACTGGACATAGGTGGATTGCTGCCCTTTCTGCATACCAGTTCACCATTACGTACAAGCCTGGTAGGACCAATGCGGATGCTGATGCCCTTTCAAGACTTCCAGAGACTCTTAGTACAGAATCAGTCAGAGCTATTTGTAACCTGGAAGAAGGACATCCCCTCATTGAGACTTTACCTGTACATCTCGCAGTTAGCCAAGATATTAAGTCACCAATCCAGGATTCTGACATATTCCAGAGGATAGATCTCCACGACATACAGAAGAAGGATCCATTTATATCTATTTGGAAGGAGTATGTCAAGAATGGTAAGAGACCAAAGAAAGATACCATGACAGGAGATCTGGATAAAGCCATGTACCAGAATTTCAGGAAGTTCAGGATTGTTGATGATTTACTGGTGCGAGTTAAATGTGCAGAGGATGACACTGAACATCGACAAGTGGTTGTTCCTATAGAAGTTGTTCCTACTATCCTTGATTTCCTCCATAACCAGATGGGACATCCTGGCAGGGAGAGAACAACATCATTAGTTATGGATAGGTTTTATTGGCCAAGGATGCGGCGAGATATTGCTATTTGGATAGAAGAGTGCGACAGGTGTCTAAAGTTCAAGTCTCCAGATAACCAACGAGCATCCATGGTCAACATTTCAACATGTCAACCTATGGAACTTGTATGTATAGACTATTTGACTCTGGAACCTTCAAAAGGTGGAATACAGAACATTCTTGTAATTACAGACCATTTCACTAAATTCGCCATCGCCGTTCCTACTAGAAATCAGACAGCTAAGACAACAGCGGATGCTTTATTCAATAACTTCATCATACCTTACGGACTTCCAAACAAAATTCATTCAGATCAAGGAGCCAACTTTTCAAGTAAATTAATTCAGGAACTTTGTCAGCTTACAGGTATATCTAAGTCCAGAACAACACCATATCATCCAATGGGAAATGGTGTCACTGAACGTTTCAACAGGACTTTGATTTCCATGCTAGGAACACTACAGCCCAACCAGAAGTCAAACTGGAAATCATACATAGGCCCACTTGTCCACGCTTATAATGCTACCAAGCATGAGACTACAGGCTATTCACCATTTTTTCTAATGTTTGGTAGGGAGCCAAACTTACCTATAGATTTGGTTTTTGGGTTAGATAATGGTGAAAAAGCTAAGACGACTTCAGCTTATATAGAGAAGCTTAGACAAAGACTTACAGAAGCCTATGATGCAGCAAATACAGCTATTAGGAATAGCCAAGCTCGTCAGAAAGCGAACTATGATATTAAGACAAAAGGTGTTACTTTGGAGGTGGGGGATAGAGTGTTGGTGAAGGTTGTTGCCTTTGAAGGAAAACACAAGATCGCAGATCGCTGGGAGGATTTTCCCTATGTTGTCCTGGAGCAACCGAACTGTAACATCCCAGTCTACAAAGTGAAGAGAGAAGATGGAGAAGGAAGATGTAGAACATTGCATCGTAATTTACTTCTGCCAATTGGTTCTAAGATTTCCTCTTCACCGCCAACACCTAAACCAAGGAAGAAGACAGAAGATAAGAGAGAGATTGTTCAGACGAAACCACCCATCAGAGAGGATGAGAACGAGTCTGACGACAGTGATGAAGAAGTTATTATTCATGTAGAAGGTACCGGTACCACCGAAACTCAGAGCACATCTAAGGAGGACGCTCCTATTCCCATCAGTGTACCTGATGATGATGATGATGATGATGATGTTCCTGAGTCTGAGATGACAGTCATAGATGAACTTGATCCAGAGGATTCAGTTACTGCAGATGACCAAGATGAGACTGATGATATCTCCGAGCCTTCGCCACCTAGTACACCACAACCTGTACCAAGAGTATCAACAAGGAAGAAAGTAAAACCAACCTGGACAAAAGATTATGCTACGTCCCTTCAGCATCATCCAGAGTGGATGCAGAAGGCTGCTTACCTGGAAAAGATTGTAGAGGATGGAACTTTCCAGAAGCTAGATAAGGAGGCATCCAGAGCCCTTATCAGCATCATAACAGGTAAGTGATGTTTTAATTGTATATATTCTTTCTTTTATGCCGAAACACAGTACCTTGTGTCACATTCTGGGTCCTGGCAATGGCGCGGACGCCATTCTCACACCAGGGGGAGAATGTGGCAGATACATATTTTATTAATTTTCCATGCATACATGTATTTATTATATACATGTATGGTAATTATGATTTATTAAGGTCTTCCGTCTTCACGGAAGACCTTATAGTGATTCTATTGTTTCTTCTTCTTCTTATTATTATTTTTCCGTACACTAAATTTTGTGCACGCGATTTCTCGAAGACTACTGGGTGGATTTTCATAAAATTTACAGAAATTATGTGTTGTTATCTGAAGTTATTTTTTCCGAGAGATTTTTTGGAAATTCTCTTCTGGTGCCAAGTTACGGGACATTTTCTGAATTTAAAATGACATTTTGTCTACGGTTAATCTCAAGAACGGTAGAAGATATCAACATGAAAGTTTCAGGGATTATAGATCGTGATATTCACTATCCAGGACGCGACCTTTCGTTCGTCGTCAATACTTCCTGTCGTTAGGAGATGCGAATTGAAAAAAGCGTATTTTCTAACTTTTTTGTTTTCCAATAGTTTTTATTTATTTTTGGAATATTAATAGAGACCTTTCTATTGATGCTTACTATATAAGTTGTTTGATTATTGGTTAATCTGAACTCTAGATATTAATATTTGAAAATCTGAAGCGGGCCCAAGATGGCGGCTGCCTCTGTCAACTCCGCCATTTCGCGAGTAGGGGTTTATGGAGGCAGCTGAGCGTTTGATTAAACGATTGAGACATAAGGATACATGAAATGTAAAAAACTACTTCGACTCTAACGTAGAAGTAAAATGGTTAGAGGAGTTACGTCCCGTTATTGTTTATATTATAATAGCTAATCAATGTAAATATTGTAATTAATTGGTCAATTGACAAAAGAATTATACAAGTATTATTGATAAATGATGTTCTGTTAGAAAATAATAATAGTGTTGCCAAAAGAAAGGCAGTCTGTTGTATTTTATCAATATGATATCTGATAACTTATGATCATTGATGAAGTTGAGGTACAAGGGGGTAGTACAGCCAACTGTCTTGTGTCTCCACTTTGGTACAGAAACCAGTCGGTGTATCGATCAAATAGGATTGTGCAAAGTTGCTGTAGTTAGTGACTTGTTAAAATATAGTTGTGTGACGTTAGCTGTAGGTTTGTTATTAGGACAGAGAAGCTCTTACAAAGTTAAATCATACTGTGTAAGTACATTGTAGCTACTTGGCTAGAGTTATAATGGCAACTTGGGAAGCAGTAAGACACCAGGCAGGTGCTAAAGGCTAAATCAAGAGGCACCAGGCAGGTGGCTGTTGACTCATATAGTCAGTTGTATAGTGAGGCAATTGTCATATGGCACCAGGCAGATGCCGGTATTAACTGAAGATATATAATTGTACAAAGCACTTACGTCATTTGAGTTAAAGCCATATATGGCGTAACTGATCAAAAATATATATTTTTGAAAACCACAAAATCAAGTAAAGAAATATAATAAATACATTTAAATTAAAACTTTTCATAAAATTCTGAACACGGAGAACACCTCGTTTCAACTAATAATACGATTTTATCTTCCCTGTACATGCTGTAATGTGTTGAATATTAATGAGATCCGCCATGTTTAATACCACTGCGCATGACCGCGGGAAATTGCAGCATGGAAGCCACGATGGAAGAAGAGGTAAGTTTACGCTATTGTTTATGTAATAAAATCATGATTATATCTCGTAATATCGGAGGATTCGGTGGAATTCTATATCTGGGACATTATAATCTTGATAATGATTCAAATTAAAGGATATTTCTGTTATTTACATTGCCAAAACGTACGAAACATAATTAGTGACAGATAAGGGGGCCACATAAGGGGTATAGTTTTCCCTGTACACCTATTAAAAAGGAAATTCAATGTGAAAATGATGAATATCGATAACACAATGACTTTTAAGACTTTCAAAGACATATTCCCAGCATTTTTTTTATCGTCATTTGTTTATTTTTTACGGGAGGCATTCATTATTTCGTTTGTTTCGGTAATCGCCATACACAATCGTGTTGCGTAATAATGGAAAAGCACCCGTATTGTCATCTAATAATATACACATGTAAGTGTATCATAGTCATTCTTGAAAAAAAGGTTAAATATATACATCTCAGAATAATTGACTTGTTTTCATAAAATTTGACAAATACCAGCTGAATATTCCATAAAACATTTACATACGACATGGCAATGATATTTTTCACATGCAATGTTTTATAATTTATAGAATTGAAGATGATATGTTCCCATTTATTAACATTTTAGATTTCTAGTAGTGAAGGTTCAAGCCCTGTCAGACGACAAGGTTTACGCCCTAGAGCAGAGATTGTGTCGACATCGTCAAGCCCAACATCAAGCCCCACAAGAAGGGGAAGAGGAAGGGGTCGAGGAAGGGGTCGAGGAAGGGGTAGAGGAAGGGCCCGGGGTGCCAGAGGAAGGGGTAACGTGCAAAGAAGTAGACACAGAGGGGATGTGGCAGCAGATGCTGCCCTAGAACGTCAGAGGGTGTTTGAGGTATTGAATACTAGCTACCATTTTAAGATTTATCAAGCTCCAGTATTTTAAGATTTATAGTATTTTGTTATGGGGAATGTGTAATTATTTTTCATCTCTGGTATCTTTAAGGCACGCATTGAAGAAATGAGTGACCAGGAAAGAAAAGACCTTCTGCTAACAACAGGGAGAAATCACCCCAGTTTATTTCTGGATGTTATGGACAGGATACCACATGGTGGTTACCATCCTCAACCTGGTGGGAATTCCCCTGAATGGTGTACCTGCATGAAATGCAGAGAAATGCCAACACAAGTTGAACGACTATGCTGTGGAAGGCCACCAAACAACTGTCGATCTGACTTGCCGGTACATATTCATTTCCTTTGATTTGCTATGTGCAATATGAATAAAAAAAATGATTTTTTTGTATTTTATAGTCTCTCTATTTTATGCATATATGCTTCTTTCTTCATAGGATTTCAACCTTCTTGTGCTTGATGAACTCGTCCTGCAAATAGCACAGATGTATAGACAGGATGTCCTTGCCCTCCCTCAAGATGATGACTATAACAAGGGGAAAAGGCATGCTGGCTACAGACAGTTTATACTGTGGCACCATGGACGTTTAGGAGTGGGGGTCAGAAGGGTTATTCCAAGTTGCTGTGTGTGGGCAATTAGAGACAAATTTCCTGACCAATTTGGACAGTATCATGGTTTTGTACCGTCTCGTTTAGGCTAAAGTGGCATTTACTCTGTAATGTATCTTGTATCCAGTTAAACTAACTATTCACTTTCTGCTTTGCAAGTGTCTTGCTATTGTATGCATTGTGCATAATACTTGTAAATTTGATACGATCATTTGGATGTCCCAAAGTATTTGTTCAAAATTTGTATATATTTTACTTTTGGCTTTGTGCACAAGGATTGTCAGATTAGTACTTGGCTTTACAGCATTTTCACCTTATTGTGTATTTCTACTTAATTACTTGTTTTCATCTTTTGAATTGAGAGGTATGGTGATATAATAGTGGATCAAAGTTTAAAAAGGAATTATCAGTTTTCATGTCAAGAGAGGCAAGGCCACATTTATAATTTTTTATTACATAAAAGTTTTTTACATTTTAAGTTTTTTATTACATGTATAAACATTATTCCCCAAGCAGTGTCAATTCTCAGATAAGATGACTTAATATTGCTCTGGCTCATCAGTCTCTAATACTAGATGATTTGTCAACAAAAGATGTATTTTTATGTTAAAATCAATGTTTGTTTTGTGTTCCTAATCACCAGTATTGATGATGGTACCATTGAAAGCAAATTTTCTTTGTAAATAAAGTGGTATTCCTTGATGGTTTTTTTTTCTGTTATATTGTAACTTTAAAAAAAACTATGTCCAGGTTATATTGTTCAAACTTAGATCATTTCAAGATTTTTATTTGTTTAGCATCCACATGCGCCTTGGTTTTGACACCCCATGTCAGAAAAAAACCTGAAATGAATTATTCTATTCAAAGTCTTTGAATTCTATCAAGCTTACTAAATTTTTGTCTTGAATATGTAGGGTGAGGTATATTTCAAATATATATATACTTTCTTTTAATATACACCGACTAAAGAAATGAAGTGGGTGCTTACGAGTAAAAAATTGAAATGGCCTAAGTTCAACATTGCCTGGAATTAAAGGAAAATTAATTCCCAGAAGAATCTATTTTAAAACAAAACAGAATATTGAAGAATTCTAAAATTGTTGATTTCATTATTTTGCAATCTTTCATAAGACTACCAGGTACTTCATCAATATGTACAAATACACAAAATTAAGAGTTCATTTCTCAAATCGAGATCTCTGTTCCCTGGCAAGTTCTGCAGTTGGTGGTGGCGGCACAGGAGCAATAGACTTGGACAGTCGTCTAGGATCTCCCTCCTCCAGGTCCTGCTGTCTGTGGAACCCTTCCTTGTCCTCAATTCTCCTAGCCAGTACCCAGTCAATCAACATTTCTACATGTTCATAGGTCTTCTTTTCCTTGACTGGATACACGGTCCACCTGCCTGACTTCTTGTTGAATGTTCTCTGTAGTCTGAAGTATAAGTACTTATATTAGAATACAACTTCCATGGAAAGAGTCACTATTGACCAGCTTGAGATCCTCTAAACGCAAAGAAAAATTTAAAGATGGGATTTAAGGAAACTATACCAATTTTGGGCCGATTAGGGTATACAAGTAAAAAGAAATACAAACAAGCAGAAATTCAAATTTTATTGTATACATGTATTTCTGTTAATTTCATTAACATCAACATGGATACATTAAAGTTTTTATTATGTGAATAAAGCTCTTCAGTGAGAAGTGTTTAGAGCTTCCTTGACTTGCTTTTTCTTTCTGTCTTTCAATACAATAAACAAGAAAAAATTAAAGTTAAGTTTTAAGAATGACTATACCTCACAGTTCCATCTTTATTTTTGATGGGCTCTCTGTCTACATTTTGATTGTAGTCCAGGGCTGCTAGTAGATTTCTGGCCCGGTATACAGGTGGACTGTATGAGTATCTTTTCGAAGAATACATCAATATGACGTTGTGGTAGCTTTCTAGATCAGCTGTACTTCTGAAAAGTTACAATTATGAAATTCATACTTAGTTTGTGTTGGTTATTCCCAAATAATAAAAAAATGTCAAATCTTCAACATATAAATTTTGAAATCTTACCTAAAATTTAGGTAATAGTGTATGTTGTTAAGGAAGCGCTTGTCCAGGATAACTTTCCTTAAAGCTTCATGAGCTGGGCTGCCCTTTGTCATCCACACTTTGTCTCCTGTTGCTTCCGACAAAGGATCGTGAGCACATGCACTCACGCCTATTTCACTGTAAGGCAGTAACCACTCATGCTCATCCACCACGTGATGCAGAACACCAACCCACATCCCCTAAAAAACAATCACTTTTCTTACACAAATCATTTTTCAATTGCAGTCATTCAAGTTATATTTACACTGCACCAACAAAAAAATTTGGTACCTGTATTTTTGTTGCATTACTCATTTAAATGAATTTACTTTTGATGTTCACATGTACAGTGTACATACCATGAATTCATCCATGTTGCCTGCAGTTTTGCAAACATACCAAAAATGGTTGACAATGTCCCTGGACCATTTCTGCAACTCGCTGCAACTTTTATCCTGTCCTGCCTGCAGTAAAACATAACTTTAAAAACTCTTTATATTGACTAAGACATACACCAAATGTAGGATTTAATCTTCCCAAGCTAAAACTTGTATATAAATTCCAAATTATTACATGAATTTTTTCTTTACTTACCGAAATTAATTTTTTCCCCAGATTTTTAGCAGCATGCCATATGTCGTGGCTATGTTTTATATCTGGATAATCTTTCCCTACAACACAAAAATGCAAATATGAAAAAATTGTGAAACATGGATACTTTGGTGGGCCGGACAATGTTGTGAATTATAGACAATAGTACTTTTCTTATTTACCTTGATCTAAGGTAAATGACTTTTACCGAAGCATGATGTCATAATGCTATAACATCATTGTGCATGTACATTCTTACAAGTGTGCAACTTGAAATGCTTACGCATAAGGGCACCAATCTGGAGATGTGCATCTGTAACAACCTCTGTCACAACCAAATCCTTGTCCTGGAGTTCTTGCAAGCATCTAAGGAACCCGGCCTTCTCAAGGTTGCCACTTTTCCCCTCGGTTTCTCGTTTGTCAAGAGTCTTTACTGAGATGATTTTTTTGCTATTATCCTCCATACAAGTGTAGGTACAGTACTGGGCGCAATGTCCTGGACTGTCCATTCTACCATCCCCTGAAATATATTATATATATATGACATGTATTATAAAAAAATTTTGTTACATGTAATATTATAAATTAGGACTTGCCATCAGAATAAGTCAACATTGCGTGAAGAATACTTTTATTACCAAGAATAATGAGGTTTTTGTCAGTTAGCTCATCCATTATCTCCGCCTGTTTTGCTTTCCAGAGCTCATCAACAGCTGGCACAAGGTATCTGTTCTGTAGTCTTGTGAATGTTGATTGCCCTGGAAATCTTAACTTCAGAAACCTAGCAAAGAGTTCCATTTTTCGGAAATTGTTTCCCGAAAAAAGAATGGCAGCTGAGATCATCAAGTCTCCAGCATGTAGACCCCTGTTTAAGAGAGGTTGAGAGCACCATTTCTCAGCTTCATGAGATTTAGCACAAACCTATAAAATAAAGAAATTCTATTGAAATAAACATTTATACTGTATTTTATTTTTATTGTATGCATACCATTGCAATATATGGCTGTCATTAAAACGTACCCATTTCAAATACAATGCCGATCCAACGTGATGTACAACGATGTTTACATCCTCCCCGCAACCTTCCACTTGACAAACCCTGGTCACTTTAAGGTTTGCTAAAGCTATTAGCTGGTCCAGGAAAACTAGAGTCATTACATTTGTTTTCACTTTATCTGGAATGTCATCAACATGA